AATCATGTTCCATTTTTGTTGAGCACAAAGTGTTGCTCCTGACATAGGAGCTTTAATTATTTTATATTATTTTTTTGCTTCAGTTATATTTATTAATTATGAGACATTATGGATGGCTAAGATTATAAGATATCTTAGGGTTTCAATCTAGCGCTAGGGCTATTAGTTATCTTCAGGGTTTAAATCTAGGAATATGACTATAACTTTATTAGTATCCCTAGTATACAAAAGCTGTAAAAGATTTATAGCCACAAGATTATTATTATAATTTTCTTGAATTAAGAGAAAGAAACTAGAGGTTTTTATAACCCTAAGTTTTCTAAAGTTCCATCTTTCTTACTTGTTTGTTCGGACCTAATTTTATTAATTTACTGCTGTTTCCCCCTTAAACTATATCTCCTCCACTCTTTGATTTGGCCTTAGATCTGCCATCTGAGCTTCTTTTCCATTTTGAGAAATTATTTCATTGAATACTGCCTCTTTGAAACCATTTTAGTGTTACATTACATTATGGATGCTAAAATCAATGTTTTAATTAATCCCATCATTTTTCTTCTTATCTCTTCCTTTCTTTCCTTTTTATTTGAAAAAGGGGAAGGGAGAACGGCAGGTTGAGACATTCGGAAATGTTTCTCTAATGCTTCGTATTTGTCCTTACCTTATTGAGAAATAGTTTGACAAGCATTCCTCTGTATGATGATTTATCTGTGAACCCTATGTCTAACTGTGTGTTTTCCCGTTGAAGAATACTCTACATTGTCTCTCATTGATCTCTTGTTTGTTCCAGTCGTGATCAGATGGAAGGGTTCTGGGGGTTTTTTATCTTCTTTTTTAAATAAGAAAATTGTGATTCAGAATGGGGTTGTTGTTGACCCTTATGCTGAAATATTTCTCTGGATTTGAGGAAGATTAAGACTTTCATGTAATTTATCTGTATATTGGTTAATGTATGGTCTTTATTGCCGTGATTGTTAAGGATGTCAGACAGCCTATAGGAACTAATTAGTTGGTTAGGCATCTGAAAAATGTAAAAGTAGGGTAATCGGAAGGTGATTTGCTGACTATTTTCTATATTTTACATTTCTACTTCAGTGAAGTAAAGTGACTTTAGTGTTTAGTTCTCCATCTTCCTAATTTTCTGATTAGCAGAGGAATTATTGCCACCAACTGCTGACCTATTTAGCAGAATAGATTATGTTGCTTTTTTCTGTTTGGCATTTAAGCTTCTTGTCCTTTGCTATTAATGGACAGACATTGAATGCATTCCCCCCTGCAGTGGAACCTTTGCAGTTGTTTTTCATGTCAAGATGGATTTATGCAAATAACTTGCCTTGGTTTTCTCAAGAGGGATAAGGAAGAAATATAACATGATTTAGGCTTAAACTTCTAAAATTCGATGTGTTCCCCCTTAAAAAAAGGAGGGCTTAGAATAGGGATTGAGGATAATAGGTGTAAAGGCATCATATGATTTAAGAAACTAGAATGGATTAAGTTACTACAGGTTTCCTATTATAGTGCCTAAGTTTGCCTCTGTAGTGGCTGATCAACTTTTGAACTCCAGCCACGCTATCAAATTATATACAATTGCTGATAGAATAGTCTTTTGTGGTTGAGTCATATTTTCTGGAACTCTTTATAGGTATTACCATACATTATGCGCACGAGAGTGATGGGTTCATATCACTCTCACAATCATTAGTTATTATGCATAGAGAAAAAGAAGAAAAGCATTTGACGCTGAGTACAGTTACCTATGTCAAAGCTCTTTGATACATGAGTTCACATTTTTTATATTTGGTTCATGTATCGCTTTTATAGGCTGTCCCTGTAACATTTGTCTAGTGATCTGACTGGCTACCTCTTGGTGCCTCTATGCAGTTTACGCCCTCACCCATCGAACAATCTGTCACTACTCAGAGAGTTATTTGTTCTATTTTCCAATACTATTAGAATTTCTAGACTGAATCTTCCCTGGATCTATTGGATTGTTCATGCATATATTGCTAGTGGACAATATTTAGCTTCATCCGTGTCATCAGCATTATGTATAAATTTTACTATTGATGATTATCCATTTTCTTTGAATTATTGGCTGTTTATTTATCACCCCCAAGTTTTTGTTGTTGACTAACTTTTGTGCTTAAATCTTGCCAGGATTGAGAGTTCTGTCAATGATGAAGGTACAAAAGAAGATCATGCTCACCATCACCATCATGATCATGACCACGATCATCATCTTCATGACCACGATCATCATCTTCATGAACACGGCCATGAACATGGTAAATTTATTTGTTATGATACCAATTGCATATGCTTTAAGGTTTTCATTTTTTCCATGCTTGTCTTTATAAGCAATAGTATATGTCCACTGTTCTCGAAAGTGGTATTTGGTTTAATTTTGTTTTCTATAGTTATGTGGGTTGCTTTCTTCTTTTAATCTGCAGCATGCTTTGTTGTTTACATCACTTCTTTTTTGAATTGATTTCAGTTTAGCATATAGATAGAAGCCTTGCTTTGTCCTTTAATTACACTAATAAATCAGGCAGTGACTTGTGCAAAATGTCAAATGTGTAATCTTAATTTTTCATGAAAATTTGTGAATTACAGATTCACCTATCGACTTGATTAAATATGTGGTTGTCACCAAATTGATTTAGTTGGTGGAAAATGATAGGAGCATGAATAAGTTTAAACTATTGCTGAGTAGTCAAATTGCTAAAAGAAGAATCAGCTATAAAGAATCCTCTGGCTGGTTGCTACTCCTGTCACCACCTAATTTGTCGCACTATCAACTAGGTACAAGGTTTCCATATAGGGTGGCCATATTATCATCAAACTGCAGATATGCATATTCATCTCTTCAAATCTGTCCATCTGAATCTTGAACTTTTGAAATTCTGGCTTGATTTAGATTTGGCACTTGAGCAATGTCATATCGATACTTTTGTGTATCCAAATCTGAAGTTTGGATTTTAGAGAAATAGGCAGGTTTTAGATTCAAGAAGAAATGAGATTAGCTTATCATCAACAGGGCCAGGCTTTATCTATAATTCTCTATAATGATTCTGTTTGAAGTCTTCTTTCATGCTGTTGGTTACCAATAGTGCCAGGCTTTATCTCGTAGGAACTAGAGCTCACAAAATCTAATATTTTAGCTTTCCGAGATACACAAATAGTTCTTAATTCTGTATAACACCCCAAATTCCATTTGCAAGGGATCTCATATCTCCCTATTGCCATCCCCACTCATAGTTTGTCATTAGTTTCTAGGCTTATGCTACTAATTTATGCCCTCCTTTTTTGGGTTTTTCGTAGGCAAGGGAATATGGATATGGTTATGCATGCTTGTTAATTTTACAGATATCATATCAACAGGTCGAAGCCATACTCTTCTACTTATTCTGAAGATAACATCTTGCACTTTTGAATGCAGACCATCATGATCATGATCATGACCATACTCATGACCCAGGAGTTTCCTCTGTCAGCATAGTTTGTGAAGGGAGCTTAGATCTCGAGAAGGTTTGTTTTAATGCACAATATACCTCTGACACTACATGAGATCGTTATGATCCTATATTATAAACCAATGAACTTGCCTGTTTAGTTTAAAATGAGATTTCTCCCGTCTCAGTAGGTCTAGGTGCTTTGGAATTTGTTTCATTATTATTGGAAGCCGTTTAGGTTAAAGACTTAAAACCTTTCATCGTTGGTTTTATTTACTTCCGCCATTATCCTGCAGGCTAACATATGGCTTGGTACATTGGTGTTGGAACGTAGCGAGGACATTTATCGGATGAAAGGTCTTCTTTCTGTGCAGGGTATGGATGAGAGGTTCGTCTTTCAGGTGAGAAAAGAATGGTGCTTTCATTCGTCTGGTTGTCTTGTTATTGTCAGCTGCTATATCTGTCATCCTATTGCCAAGTTAAACTGAAGTAAAAAAAATTAGGGTTTGTTGAGTTGATAGGAGAGTGGTGGATTAATTATGTTTTGTTTTGATGATGTGGAATGAACAGGGAGTTCATGACATATTCCAAGGTTCACCGGACCGGTTATGGGGGCCGGACGAACCCAGAGCAAACAAGATTGTGTTCATTGGGAAGAACTTGAATGCAGAGGAATTGGAGAAGGGTTTTAAAGCTTGTTTACTATGAGCAGAGCAGAGCAATTTACCTTACATAATTTCTTTTGCATTTATGATGGCGGCTACGTGATGTAATGTTTGCTGTTAACAAATATATAGAGAAATGCTTCAAGTTCACTACGTACTTATTGAATAATACTTTTACATAATTTGGGTTTGGGTTAGCATTCAGTGTTCAGCCATACCTATTCAATAATAATAAATGTATATATTTATGTTAAATTTTGACATCAAGTAATGAATTAAAGTCGATCATATCTTTCGTTAATTCATCAAATTAATTTGGATAATTCATTTAATTCAATAGTGATAAAATGCTTATATTGTTATTATCATGGTTATACTAATTTTATAAAGAACAGAAAATCTTAGGTAAGTATAAATTCTTAAAATTATCTTCTAAAGAATCAACAATCATATAAAGTTGGATAAGTATGAGTTTTTAAAAGAATTAGATATTATAATCAATTCATTATCTTTTGTAGTTATAACTATGATTAATAAAATAAATAAATAAATTTAAAAGTTATATTTTAAACCATTATATATATACACACACGTTCATATCGTGTTAATAATTATATATATGTGTAAATATCACACAAATAATTATATATGTGTGTAAGTATATCTTTAACAACAATAGTCGACTATTAATCAATAATCTTCATCTTGAAAATTTTGATAAAAATTAAAATAATAGTGTTGAATTACTTGTGAAGGAATAGGATTCAAAATTAAAATATTTTTAAAAATAAGAGTGAAAATAATTATTTAATTAAAAATTAAGCGACTTTTTGACAATGAAATATCTATAATTATGGAATGAAAGCTGGCGTGGTTAGGGTGCAGAGTGAAAATGGAGGTGATGATATATATAAACAAGTCAAAACCCCCACCCCTATACTCGTTGATCTTCCGATTGAAACCCTCAAAACCACTCTTCCACTCACTATATGACTTCACTTTTCTCAGCCTTTGCTAATTGTTGGTAAAAGGGAGAAGCGAATTGCAAACCAAAATCCCAATGGAGATCTTCTTTGCTTCTTATTTCTGATACATTTTCTCATTTTTTTGTTCTTTTTCCTGTTTTGATGATACGCATCTTTCTTAATTAATGGGTCTTGTATTATGGATGCATTTTTTTCTACTGATTTGTGTAGTTTCTCCAATCAGTAAGCATGATTGGAGTTTTGATTAGCAACATCTCTTTGTTTTGCTTGTATATTCAATAAAATCTATGGAGTGCCTTCTCTTTTGGATTATATTCATGGACTCATAGATGATGTTTTGCATCTCATTATAAATATCTAAAAATTGACACTTTCTCCTCTTTTTGTTTGGATTAAGACTTATTTTTCATGAAAAAAAATAGTTTAAAATACTGAAAGTGCCCATGTTGTATGCATACCTTTAGCTGAAACTCACTCAAATTTGAGAAACATAAATTATATCAGCTTTACTGGTATTGCCAATTAACTTGGTCTGGCCAGCAGTTTTTTTTTTTTTACTTCGGAAAACAATCAGCTTAAGCAGACAATTGGAATTTAGAAATTATCATCCATGCTCAAAATTTTGTATCATCTCTGCAATTAATGAGGCATATGTGAGGAAGAACTGTCGAACTCTTTGAAAACCTGTTTTTTAAATGTTTAAACCAAGGTGTATATTGTGGAGGACATTCCTCAGCGAAGTCCACTGTAACCCCCAACTTCTAAGAGCTGCAACAAATCTGTGCCAACTGAGCTAATGTTCATTTGACAGTTGAGAATGATTTTAAACCTTTAGGTTTTTTGGTTATCTTTTGGCTCTCTATTTCGTCACTTATTTGTAAAGGTAGGTTTTAGCTTCGTCTCGATGATGAGATATGCTTAGAGCATTCCGGGCTTACAATCTTATTTTGACACATCATCCGGATTGTATGTCGTCCATTTGCGACCTACTTTAACTTGGTTCTTGAGCATTGTACATTGTTTTCAAGTTTGCTTGCTAATCTCCTCCATGTGTTCTCTTATGGTTTGCTCTTTTTCTTGGAAAGAATTTGTATATGCCTTATAATGTATATTATGCAATTATGTTTATGTATTTTCTTGTAAAATGATTTTCCAGATTGGATCTACTAAACCTGATGATGTGGCTATTTCTATGGATCAAAGGCAGGGATGGATTTAGTTGTTGTGTTTTGGATTTTTTGGTTGATTACCACACTTAGGATTTGTATAAATACTAAAAGAGTAATCCAATGCGTATGTACTGACTGTGTCTTGCAGTTTTCCTTTGGCTGGCCTAAGCAAAGTGCTAAAGCCTGGTTCTGAGAACAGTGATGCTGGTGAAAGTAAGGATGACAATGACAATGGTGAAAAATCAGATGATGAGTCAGAAGAAGGGAGTGATTACGACGATGATTCAGATGATGATGATGTTTATGGTGATGAAGAAAGTGATGACAACGAAGATGATGATGAATATGACGACGATGGCAATGAGGATGAATATGACGACGATGATGACGTTGATGATGAAGACGATGATGACGACTAAGACGAAAAGGGTGGAAAAGAAATTTGGTAATTCTTTTAGCATTTAATTATTTAGGGAGTCAAAATCATTATAACTGTGGAAAGATCAATTCATAGTAGCAAATTTTTAGCTTTGGTTTCATTTACTATATTCATACAATGGACAAGTGGAAGTTGAAACATGAAAAAAAAACATTCTAGGGATGGCGTGTTCCGATCAGGTTCGTCATTACTGTTCACTTGTGAATGATACATTGTTAATTGTTAAAGCCATATTTCTGATTGTTAATTAATGACTTATTAAAAAGTAATGAAAGAGATTCAGATTCAGTGGGAGAAAGAAAGCATTGTGCGGTTAACGAGGGGTGAAAGCCACTTTTTGAATTCAAACAGCTGGCATCAATGGAATATTACATGGTCTGGTTTGATCCTCTTAAACCATATTTATCTATCTTGCTGGTGTTTGAGTTCAAATATGCATTTTTTTAAGAGATACTGAGGTCCAGCAAATTAGTGAAAGAAATATCTTTGCAAAAAAAAAAAGTTTTGATATCAAATTTTGTGGGATCATAAAAGATCAGGTATAGTAGCATCTAAGATTGTAATGTTGCTTTCAAGAGCTAATTGTTTGTTGCGATTTTTAAACGAGTCGTAAGTGTACTAGCTCGGTTGTGGCATGTAATGCTTCTAAATGATTCCTGGTGGTTGCAGTTTGAAAGGATATAATATCCTTGGTTTAGTTAGTCAAAAGGTTCGATTATGGATAATAGATTACAACTTTATGTGTATATGTAGCGTGGTCCTAGTAACCATTAGAACACCTGCTCCTCTGTCGTTAAAGTTCATCGAAATTTAAAATCCATGAACACCTTTTACCCGAACCTTAAAAAGGTTCCAAGTAGGACTGGTCCCATTTGATGCTGGGTGGTATCCAAGGCCATACCTTGCTTCACTTTAAAACGCCATGTAACTATGAAACTCTGTATCACAAAAACTTCTTTATGAAGTAAGTTTGCAGTAATCATGAGGTGTGACGCGTACGCCCCTCAATCATATGGTCGGAGATCCAATCCTCTCTTGTAAATATGGAGTATCTTTTATGATTTACTTGTTTGAAGAACATTATTGATAAAAGAAATTAGTAATCGGCAATAAAGATGAAGCTTAAACTCTAATTCTAAATCTCATTTAGCCAATGAATATAAAGTTCAACAGTTTTCTTCCAATGATGTGACTCTCATTTGCCAATAAAAGAGATGTGGATGCAATCACCAATACAAGTGGAGTAAAGGGTTGTGCTTATTGGTCTTCCGGTTCTGGTGGTTATATAGGAGAAATCTGATTTTAGCTTCAAACAAATAGCATGTCTGCATGTGCCTCCTTTGTTGGGCAAATCGTCTTTCTTTCTATATAGTTTATACGAAAATCAATTACATGCAAAATAGAATCCATGCATTCTTGTGCTATTTTTGGTATATTAAAGACTTCGCTAAATCAATTTACGATGCAGTGGAACATTATCCCTCGCCTTCTGTCGGGACTTTCTGAAACAGACAAATCCCTCCGGCCCACACTTGTTGTACTATGTCATTGACTGCTACCCGAATCACACACTTTGAAGATAACTGAGACCAGAAAGAAATTAATGACATTAATTAAGCAACTTACAGCTCCTGATAGTTCCATCTTAATTCGAAGCCTCACGTTGAGCTTTCTGGTATTGATTTGCTTTAGGACTAAAAGCAGACAAGAAGGCAACAAAGTCCTTAAAGTTGAAGCCATCCACCATCTCAACCACCCTCTGTAAATCCAACACATTCATCAAATCAAACCCAATAGTCTAAAATTGAAGACATTTTCAAGTCAATAAGTGTACCTTAAAGACAGGATTCATTGCAAATTCTGGCACTGATAACATCTCATCACTTGATATGCATCCATTTCCATCTAACTCGCAAAACCTTTGGTACAAACCAACAATTTCTTCCCCCGAGACTGCAAAACAACCAAATTAAAAGGACCGGTCGAGTCAATCTATTATGTTGTAAACAACCTACATAGATAATTGCAATACTCTTACTTCTTCAATTTCATATTGAGTTAGCATTGATGAAGTATTTCCCATTGGGTTTCTCTTCTAAAATCTGCAAATTTTTAAGCAAACAAGAAAACAAAAATCAACTAATCATTATCCACAAGACTTGTATTGTTTGGTTCAAGAGAAACAGTAGGAAACTATAAGAAAATCAAAACACATGCAGCCAAGATGCTTATCCAACAGAGGTTTGATGCAAGCAGAAACAATTCGGCATAGAACAAAAGAGGCTTACGGTGCTTTCTAAGCAACCAAACAGAAAACCCAGAGAAGGAAAAGAGAAAGCTAAAGCTGGAAGATGGTTGGAGAGAAGGAAAGAAAAAAGATATAGAGACGCCGCCGCTTAAAAACGTTGTAAACATCGAGATTCATATATAAAACATATTGAAGACAACAGAACTTTACGTCTCTGCATGGTACAACGTTCCACGAGGAATTCATTTTCTTTGTTGGGGCCGCAACAAATGCCATTGTTTTCATCTATTATTTTCTCTACCTGTAACCAATATAGCCATTGAACTTATTTAGTTATTTTCACTCGGTATGGCCTTTGAATTAAGAAAACAAAATTAATCTGGCCTTTTGATAAATGAAAATCAATGTTTGACCATTACAATGTTTATGTAATAGTCTATGGTAGATGCTGACATGATAGAGGGGTTTATTCGAGGGCTTCATTATTTTTTTAGGAAATTTGAGAATGATTTATTTTTAAGAAAAAATATTTAAATTTCAAATATGTAAAACATTAAAAATATAAAATATTAAAATTAAAAATACTACACATGCTATTAACATTTTAAAAAATAAAAATACCACAAATTATAAAATGATAAATTACAAATTATTAAAAAAACAACTTAAAATAAAATATTTAATATTTCCATCAGAAATCTCTCTCTCACACAGAGCTTACTATTATCTTTTTAGTTGAAAAAAATATTTTTTTCCTATAAGTATGAGATTTTCTTCTGCTCAAATGTCATTGATGATAATTGAAGGAATGTTCGACGTATTTTGCGAGTTTTAAACTCGTCGAATTCTGAGAAGTATTCGGGTCTCCCGCTGGTAGTAAGGTGTAACAAAAAAAAAAAAGAGGCATTTGCATATCTACGAGATAAATTTCTTAGGCACATTCGAAGCTAGTGCATTCGAGCTCTTTCTCAAGGAAGGAAGGAGGTGTTCAAGTCGGTACTTCAAGCGATTCCTTTATTTGTCATGAACTGTTTCTTGCTACCAAGAGCTTATATGTAGAGTTTGAGAGTATCATGGTGCGGTTCTAGTGACAAAAGTCCGAGACAAAACACGGTATTCATTGTTTCTAGTAGAGAGCTTTATGTCATCTTAAAGGTAGTGGGGGTCTTGGCTTTCGAGACATAAGAAGTTTAACATTGTCACTCTTGCAAAACAAGGCTGGCCTTGTTTACTAATTCGTCACAGTTAGTGGGCAGATTTCTCGAGGCAAAGTACTTCCACGCAGGTGATTTTATGTCCTCGAGATTAGGCTCTTCGCCTTCATACATATGGCGTAATATTTGAAGCACAAACGGACTTTTGGAGAAGGATTTGGGCTGGAAGGTTGGATCGGGGAACTCTTTATCCTTCTAGAATGACTTTTGGCTGCCGATCACCAAGTCCCAACTTATAGAATCCCTACAAGATCACTCGGTTGATAAGGTGACAGACTTAATTAATGATGATTCAATGTTTTGGAGGGAGGACTTTGTTCTTAGCCCGTTTAGTGAGGAGGAGGCAAAATTCATTTTGGGAAATCCATTGTCCCGATTCAAACAGAATGATTGTCTGATTTGGTGTGGCAAGAAATCTAGGTGTATAATGTTTGTAGTGGGTATTGTTTGTTTTTGGAGGAGGGTAATGTTTCGCAAGCAATGAAAGTTGTGTTCAATCGTTTATGGGTTTGTGTGTGTCAAAGTAAAATCAAATCGCAGGTATAGCGTTTCATTTATAATTTTATCCCGACTCTGCAATGTTTATTTGCTAAGAGACTCATGAACAACCCTACATATCTAAGATATCATGCCAATATTGAATCTGAAATTCATGTTGCTAAGGATTGTGTATTAGCCCACGTTGTCTGGAATAAAATGCATTGTAATTGGAATGGGGCAGATTCCTCGTAGACTTCTCTGGTTGGTTAGAATGGCTTTTTAGTCATAACTCAACCCAAAAACATTATGAGATTTTAGTGGTGATTTGGGCATATGGTAGGCACGGAATCTTCTGTCGGGAGGAAGGAGGAAGTTGTTACCTTAATACGTATATAGTGTCGGAATTTTGCTAGTTCCAATATGAACCTCCGGGGTCCCCTAGTGGCCCCTCATGTGCGTTGGCAGGCTCCGATTGCACTATTAGTGAAGATAAATTTTGATGTTCATTTTGTTCATGCACAACAATATACGTGGTCAGGAGTAATAATCAGAGATAATAACGAATTCATAATGGGTGCTTGTAGGCTATGGGTTCTACGTGTTACCTCGACTTTCATGGCTGAAGCTTTGGTTACTGTCCACGGGAATACTCGATCACTTTTGCTACGGATTTGGGCCTTTAGGAGGTGGTCGTTGAAGGCGATTCTAGGGTTGTCATTGACAAACTGACCACATCAAAGCTTGATCTTTCAGAAATTAGCGCACTGACTTGGGAGGTGAAGAGACAGGCTGTATCCTTCCTTGCATGTGCTTTCAGATTTGTTCCTTGCAAATGGAAACTCTACAGCGCATCCCCTTGTTGCAGAAGTGTTGTTTGAAATGATCGATCACTACTGGATTGAAGAGGCTCACCAATGTCTAGAAGATCAGGCTTCTGAATATCTGAGATGGATAGTCCCTCTTTAAAAACTGCCCTTCGTAGGGCATCATAGATTTTAGGCTCCAGGCTCCAGTTCTTGCTTTCACCTTGTTGCAGCTCGTATCAGAGCTCTTTCTCAGTGTGCAAGGATGTTGAAACGCCAACCACAGTTTAGACTATGTTTTACTTTGGTAGTTCTGTTTTTGTTTTTAACTTTATAGAGGTGACTGAGTTAGAGTTAAATATTATTAGAGATCGAAATATTATATTATTTAAGAAAAATATAAAATTTTATTGAGTATTTAAATTCAAAATTCAGCATAAATCAAGTGACTTTAGTGATTAAGAGATTGTTATTATCCTTGA